TTTAGTCATGCAGAGTTGCAGCCGCTACGAGGTCTTTGTTGAAATGTGTAAAAATGTTAGGCGACCTTGACTAAAAAGTCTATCTGCTTATCCTAAATGGTTTCTTGTTGTCGGGCCTACCATCATAGTGTTGTGGTTGCGTTGTATTGAAGACCGAAGTTGGCTGGTAGTTTTTATTCGTTTAGCTGGCCTAATTAAGCTAAGATATCTGAATTGACTGATCGTAGTCCGTTTGATGTGCCTATTTCGATTTTGGGATTAAAAACAATGAACAGTATAGCTACTTCGCTAATGCGAACATTGCCAATGCTTTGGGCTGTATTGCATATGCAAGCGTATCCATGCCTACAGGTATGCGTAGACTAAACCCTCGTTTATACCTCTACAAAATCATACACATTAGCCGTCTTTAGCATGCCCTAGTTGCCACGGAAACCGCACTGACTACACGTGGATCCCTGATAGCAATGGACCTAGTGCTGCGCTAGGTCCAAATGTACCTGAATGGTCCTTCGGCCCTATAGGCCCATTTTTGTGCCCGGTGTTGGGTGGTCACATACGTACGCACCGGCAGTGCGTGCTCCTATAGCATGTTTTCTTGCCGCAGCGACACCCCGTCCCGATGTCGCGGCTGGAATGCTCGAACCGATCAGTTCGGTCCATCCCCTATTCACCCGCTTTCTTGGAGAATGGGGGTCGTAACCTCGGCCAAATGACCCGGAGCAATGCTATCAGGGGTAGAAAACAACATTTGACATAGGAGTACGAAACCATTCAAAGTACATTTTTATTATTAAAAACGCCAAAGGATATGCTGGTGACGGTAGTAACCATTCAGATTTTGATAAATAGAGGATTGAATAGCAATTGGTTAAGAAATAATAGCGTTCCTTTCGACTTTTTTTTTTCGCCGGAACCTTCTTACTTTAACAGCAAATCCGAGCAATCACAGTAATAATCCATCGTTGAACGGTAGAAGGCTGAGACCATAAACGTCTCCTGTTTCCCCCGGTCTAGGACGGTAGCTTACTTGTACTTGTTACGGTTGTGATAATGCCTGATCTAGCCGGCCTCGATGATGTCACGGACGGTACCTCTCCATGCGGGACGATTGGCAGCAGCGGAGCTGGAGAGTTCTACCTAGTCTCTTCTCCAGCGCTGGAGACCGAATACCGAAGGTCCAAGAACCACTTCCATGTCCTGACGGACTGACTGGAGCCAGGTTTTGTTTTGACCCCCTTTTCGACGTTTCCAATTAAGTACCGGTTTCAACTCGACGGTAGTAGCACTGAGCTCTTAAGATTGACGAAGAAGAACGTGTCCAAACCACCTCAGTCGTCTTTCCTGAATGACCTAGGATATCCTTGTGATTTTGCCGCAGCGAGTGCGGACTATCTCAGTTGAGAAGAAGTCGGTTTACTTCACTCGAAGGATGCTCCTCAGACAGTAGTGGTCAGAGACTTCCAGCTTCCGTTCATCTTCCACGCGCATAGCCCAACATTCGCATCC